TTTAACATGTCAAATGTGATGGTAAAGATATGCGATTTATTCGTGCTCGGCTTCAAAATTCTCTGTACAAAATATATCTAAACGGTACAAAGTTGCGGAATACTCGAAACTACAGAATCTATAATTTACACACCAATGGATCCGCATAGATGAAACTCTAGCATCGTTATTTGAACATCAAACAATTAATTGACGACTCATGTTCCCAACATGAATATTATTCGCACACGTAGATATGCTCTGTTCGAAATTCCGCGCAATTTGCACGGTTGTGCAAAGATGTTTCACTGACGATGACCTATTTGCAGCATTTAGGTATAATCACTGTAATAGGATTGTCCCTTTTGTACTTGATATAAATCAAGTTAAGCTTTGTGCCGGCTAATACTGGTAAGGCGATCGCGTAATATAATATCATCGCACCTTAAAGATGAAATAATTTAAAAAGAATAATGAAATATTCATTTATTATATATAACAATTGTTATATATTAGTATACATTATTTTATTAATTATATATTACTTCATAATTCGTATTTTAATTAAATGTTAATATTACATTAAATTAAATATTGCGTATATTCGGTGGATGACTGTAGTTCGCTTTAACGAAATACAATAAAATACTAAAAATCGACAATATTGCTGAAAGCTCTTGTAACGAGAACATATCGTTTTTGCGATACATATACGCAATTAAAAAATCATTTTTCCAATGCAAATATAATCATCCTGAATAATATCAAACAATATTCGTTAGAGAATAGAATAAATTGATATTTTACTTCTTTATTAAAATAATTGACGAAATTTCCTTTAGCAACGAGATTCAACGATCGTATCTATCTTTGGGAAAACGAAACAGGAATCGATCGTCGCGCATACGTTTCTGCGGCTGACGATCCAATTATTTCCATAAGGCGAACATCTAACGAGCTTCCACGTTCCACGTGCACTCCCGCCCGTTCATCCATCTACCCATCTATCCATCCATCCATCCATCCATCCATACATACATCCATCCATACATCCATCCATTCGCCGCCCATCCATCTATCCATCCACCCAACCGTTCGTTCGTCCAGTCGGCCAAGCTTAAAATTAGACTCTATGAAACGAACAATCCGGAAGCGAACAAGACTGAGCAAGCTAGTACTAAATTTATTTAGCGCGAATGTGAATTCCGTCCTGTGTCCGCAAATTCATTCATTCATTCATTCAACCGGTACAAATCGGCCGAGGTGCTCTCTCTCTCTCTCTCCCTCCTATAACGGCTATTTGAACAATTGCCGCGATAGCTTCACTGAAACGTAGCAGAACGACCGACTGTAAGATTATTCGGACCATAATGTAAAAAGAAAAGCGTAACATTGCACAGTGATAGCAATCAAACCGGAAACAACCAATCAAATTTCATCAGAGATTCCTGTATATAATGGCGCTAATGTACTGAAACAGCTAATCAAATTTGACCAAAAATTCACTCTCCTATAAAATCTATAGTGTCAAATTTAACCTAATGTGAGTCGCCACTGCTCCTACTAAATATATCGTTATTTTTAAGTAAAATGATAATTAAATTTGACACTATATAATGTTAAATTGATACTGTATAGTGTCAAATATAATCATTGTCTTAGTAAAAAATAATGATATTGAGTAGGAACAGTGGCGATTCACATTAAGTTAATTTGACCCTATAAAATTTAACAGTGTACTGCGCATCCACGGGAATGGTACACCTTTCTTTTTACATCATGATTTGGACAAACGTTGCTCTGAATTCTCGTCTCGAGTGGACATGAGGTACGGCCTCAAACTTTCTTGGAATCGACGAAAAGGTCCAGGCGTTTATTTTGACAGCCAAAGTTGGCTAGAAAGTAATTATTTGTCCGCACAATATTAATCAACGTTTACAGAATTGCACGAGCGCATTCTCTTTTTCTCTGCCTATGTTACGCTACTCGTTAAGGAGCATTTTGTTAGACTGTCTTTGATTAATATTACGTAATATTATGCTGCATTTTTGGACGAATTTTACGGTGGGCATTAATTACGCCGGAGGCGTTGTTTGCAGGAATTCCCGCGTAACGGTCGTAAATTTGTAAACCTAAGTAGCGAATTTACCGTATGGAATGTTTCGCAAGTTGTGCGCGTAACTTGTCATGTCTCCATGATTTATCAATCTTTAATTCTCCGGTAGCAATTATTTCAACGCGACGCAATCTAGCTGTGCAAGAACTATCTGTTCGAAACTGTTATTTGTTCTGGGAATGTCAACAATTTGGCGCGAATGCATTTCCGAGAAGCGTCACGTAATATAGCAATAAAATTTGCTAGCCACTAGAGAAGTGAGGTGGTTTAACAGCCGACCTCTAAATGTATTCCTCGCTACGATATCGTAAACGAGGAGTGTCATAAAAGAAAATCGTTAGCTCCTGGGAAAACGTGCCAAAGCTGACATCAACCTAGTTGCAACAAGAGCAATAATTAGTCGGGAAACGCAATCCTTAAAGCTATTTATGCCATAGTCGTCGACGTAACAATAGGGAAAGAGAGCAGAAAACTCATAAAATTATCAACTGTGAATGCGAAACGAAAATACGTCGCGTTTCACCGATCCTAATGTTCTACTGAGGTCGATTGACAATTAAGATGACGCATCGAATTTACATATCATTTTTAAATGCGTTAAACACATTAGCTCTAATCGGTATTCACAGGTCCAGCGGACATTTTCTTCAATCATGTTGTAATAAATTGTTTATAATAAATGTCCTTGACGCATAATTTTCAGTCACATAATTTTTTTCTTTGGATTTTAACCTTCAAAATGAAAAGAAATCGTTTAATTGCAAACTTTAAGTAAAGATACATTGATTTAAAATACCTACATTAGACCCGCGCACGGAAAGAACGATTTTCCTAAAATATCTAAAAATTTAGATACATACTTACAGATCTCAAAATAATTTTGTTGGACCGTCAAAATAATTATGTAGGTATAATAACTCAAGCATAATGAGAAATGCAGCAAAAAATTTTGACATTCTATAAATAATCAGTTTGAGCATAATTGATGGTATCCAGCAAATCTAGTCAGTCAATTCAAGGATAATTCCAGGACATTTCGGATAAAAATGTTTTCCAGGATTTATCCATCGGTTAATTTTCATGATTTAATTAATTTTCATCGATTCATGCAATATTATATGCTTTGTATATTCAAGTTAGAATTTTATACGAATGAATTAAAACGCTAACAAATAGAAATTGGGAACAATATTATTTATTGCTTTATAAATAAATATCAAATGAACATTCCGTCAACATAAATGATTTTTCTACTATGTTCTTTTTTAGACATCAAATTCAAGTTTTTTATTGGTAACTTATTGTATTTTTAAGGGAGGATTTATATCACAAACACAACTTTTCTTTTTATTTTTTCTTTCTCTTTTTCACGCTGACTTTTTTTAGAATGAAAGAACGATAAATTCTAGGCCAGCCCTGAAATTTCAGGAATTTTCCAAGAATTTTCCAAAATACATAAAATTCCAGTGTAATTCCAGGATCCAAGGATATTCAAGATTACTGGACACCATGAATTAATTATTTTGATACTCCAACAAAATTTATTTTTAATTCTGTATTTGACTACAAATTTTTTGATACTTAAGCAAAACCATTTTTTCCGTGCGAACACCAAGTAAAGAATTTTCGGAGCAAATACCGATTAGAATTAAATGTACCTTATAATCTTTGACGATACTCATGTATCGTATTAACGCGCTTGGGATTTCAAAATAGCAGCGCCATCGAGTTGCGGAAATACCGCGAAACCACTGAGTGCTATTGTTCGCGTTTACTGATTCCACCATAAGGACTGATTCATTCGGCGCCGCGTCAACTATCCCATTTCGTAGCATTAGGTTAACCCTTTGCGGTCTTCCTGACTCGATGCAGTGGTTTAGGAACGCGTACACAACACCTAAAAAGGGTTGTACTGCGAACTGGTGATTCGAAACAGTTTCACGTGTAGCGATCACGAGTAAGCACGAAATAACATTGCCGCGAGACAAAATGTACGACGATGCGTGATTTTTAATCTCCGGAGGGCTATTTGTTTTCGCTACTTTGCGTTCCAGCGGATCGGGACATCGCGGCGGAATGTAATGGAAATGCGATGGGAGATGAAAAGCGAGATGCGCGAGGCGAGTAACAATATTACTGCAGATGGGATGCGGCGGATTGAAGGTAAAAAGCGCGATCGACAGGATTTCAACTTCGTCTAGACCTTCGTTTATACTCGCATTCAAGGAAAATGGAAAAAAAACAAGAACGAATGTACAAGTAAATCCGTGAATAGATACTAGCGATCAAAAACTATTTTAATAATCTTATTAAAAATTATTTTTAAATAATAAAGCTACATGTACCTTTCTTCAAACAAAGTAAATAAGTACACTCAACTTAATTTAATCGCCAAGAATCAAAGGAAAACAATCTTCAACGAATTCCCAAAAGCTAGAAAGGTTTGAGAACCACTGGCTGCAGCAGGCCCTATGGAGAGAACCGTGCGCGAAGGATGAAGGAAGGCGCAATAACAATATCGCGTCCTGCCCTTGCTGTATGCAACCAGGGGGTAACGTCCTGTTACACCAGTCTGACCACTTCGCCTCGTCCCTCTTCCCTCTTCTCCAACCCTTCTCCGTGCGCGCGGACCGTTTTGCTTTGCACCGGCTTTGCTTTCGCCTTCGCCTTTCGCGGCCAGCAGGCGAAAACGTCGCGACCCGCTTTTCGCTAATCGCAATCCCATTCAGAGCGCGACTCGTTTCCACTGCACATACCAGCAGCGTAATAGAGGCGTTCCTGAGAATCTCTTTTGCTCGAGTCATCCACGTCGCAAGGAAATACATGTACCAAACAGCGATTCATGGAACACAAGTTTGACCAAAAAAAAAATTCTTCTTCGTTAATATGAGTAATCGTTACTCACCGATAATGATGTCCGCCCTTGCAGTCTCCGCGGTGAATCAGCACTAAGACCTGCACAACCAAGACAGTGGTGGTTTTAGTTTGCGCTTATATGCGTACGCATGTGCGTATTATTGTATTATAATTAACGTCGCGCGAGCTAACGTCACGTATCTCTTAAACTTATCTTAATGCTATTGTACGGGAAGGAACGCGGTAATTAGGATACCAGCGACGACGCTGTGCATTTCTCGAATTTCAGGTAGCTTCTTCAGAGTATCTTGTATTTCATGTATTATTAATTTTTAAACGCCTTTTCGATATGACATGAGCAGACTTTTTTTTCTAATACTTTTTTAATGCCTTTGCCTTTGTCCTTTTTATTGATACATACATTTGCTTCGTATCGTTATTCACAATTAAAATAATTAAAAATCAAATATAGACTCCTCGAAATTTAAAAAATATTAATTAAAAACTGTTTTTTGCGTTCACTCTGAGCCTTTTTATTGTAATTAATATAATACTATAATTAATATGGTTATTATTATATTTCAGTTTTCCATTTCTGGTTCACTTTTGGTCAGATTTAATCTGATAACAATGTAAAAATGGTTTTTTCTTGACTAATCTGCAATGATGGTTCTGCATGTAACTTTTAAAGTCAATTTAGTGATTAATCACAGCTGTAAAAATAATTATGTATAAAATAATTTTTATACATAAACATCAAATTAAATGAAGTTAATTTAAAATCGCAAGTTAACTAGAAAATAAAAAACTGAGCCTTTTGTTTGAAATTTTGATTAAAAGAAATTATTTACAATATGTTAATTTTTATGAAAATTTAGCAATCAAATTGGCCTGGCACGCCATACTCAAGTATTGTTCCTGTAGTGGCATTTAAGGATTGATTGATGATTATTTGATGCAATAAAAGATAAATATTTTGAATAACGAGTATTTAGAGACATACCTCGTTATTCAAGATATTTATTTTTTACGACGCATGCGTCATTAGAATTGTACGAGATACGCTCCTGTAATAAACAGGCCGATGCAAATTGAAAGTTACGAGTCTCTATTACGTTAGCATTAATTATAATAATAACAAAACATTCGCTTTAGTATGAAATTATGTTTTCGCGACTGGTTCGCGCATTCTTATACAGCCGGCACGGAAAAACGCACTTATGCGTCCCACGTCCGAGCGCATCGCACGATCATAAAACTGCACCGAGACTACGACCGAGTATCGCTATCACGTGCGCGGAATTAATTACAACTACTCGTCCAACTATTTATCGCCGTCCGGAGACGGAGCCCGACTCTCGAAGTGGACCATAAACGTGGCGCTTCTAAAAGAAATTGCGAAACCGCTTGGGAGATAAATCGTCTCGATTAACCAACGCGCATCTGTCTGGAATCTACGCGAGGTCACCCACAAGCTGACTCGCATACCACCATCGGTAGAGGGCATCCTTCCTTATTAAATCCTCAGTTGCTCAAACCTTTATAGGCATCTATAAGCATTTATTATAAGCAGCAGATGAAAATAATGACAGAAACATGCGAGTCTACTCGTATCAGGCGAATGTCGCGACAAATGTCAGGTGGCGAGAAGTGGAGTTCAAAGTCCATAGATTGATAGCCATTGAAATTAATCCACTTGAATGAAACAAAACGAAAGAACTGCGACGTTAAAACAATCAGCTGCGCTGCCCCGAGCATCGAGATCAGTCTCAAGGACTGACCCGGCGTGAAACCTTGGGCACTTTACTAGATCACTGTCACCAGGTGCACGCCGGGGAGAACAAACTTCACTCGCCGGCTACACGGGCTGCACGCTCGCGAATCACGATCGGGCACTCAAGGTTGAAAATTCCAGACGCCCCCCCTCGGGATAGGTCAGGGACAATGAACGTGCCAAACGCAGAGAGAGAGAGAGAGCAGCGGCAGCAGCTGCACCCAAAGTTCATTCAACTTTCCCACGCGAGAGCGTTCTTTTACACCAATAAGCGGCTGCGTGTCGCCATTGAAAACACGATTCACGACATCCTTTCGTTTCCGGATCTCATTTTCGGACCTTCAACTCTTCGGCTCGACCGGAAGAGTCGATCGACGGGAACGAACCTGGTAAGAGCGGCTGGAGCATCAACGCCTGAGATTCTGTAAACTTTCTCCCTCAGATTTTCACTGAAGAATTCAGCCGCGAGGAGGAATTTTACGACGAAGAAGCTTCGCGCGAGCGTGAATCTCGCGTGTGGACACGATTGCGGCAGAACTAGTACTAGGCCGAGAACACGAGTAAACTTCACCAAGTGGCCGAGGCTCGTTCCTCTCCGGCGAGGCTCGTCCACCTCTTCCTCGTCGCGAGGAGCCGCGAGTACTGGTGGGGCGAATCGCTCGCGGAGGGAGATCGTAGTGGCGAAGAGAAAAGAGGAGAGAGGAGAGGAGAGGAGAGGAGAGGAGCGGCGTGTGCTACACGCGAGCAATGTATGCGTGGCGCGGTGCAGCATCGAGCTGCAATGTGCGCGCGAGTAATGCGGATGCATCGTGATGCGGCAAGAGAGATGGAGGAAGATGCGGAGAGCACGAGAGAGGGAGAGAGAGAGAGAGATACAGTGAGTGCAAAAAGTATTCGTACAGAGAAGTACAGAGAGTAAATATTATCCAGCGAGAAATGAGTCATCGAATTGATGTCGAATCGATATCGACACGATGATTTCAACACTAATTCGACGTTTAATTGACGATCATTTTTCTTGCTGGGTATTATAATTAACAATTTATTCATAAAAAATACAATAGACTGTATGTTTCTTAAAATTATATATATACCAAAAAGATGTGTATTAATTAAAGAAAATATATCATCTGAAAAATAAGCGAAAATTAAAAATCCTATTGTTTGGATCCTCAAACAGTATTCGTACAGTTGAGAAATTTAGCTTCTAAAATCAGGAATACATGCAAAGCTCGTTTGCTTATGTTAAAACAGAATATATTCAATATATAAAATTGCTAATTAATGTTTATTTTTTACAAATAAGACTGTTTTCATTAAAAAATTCCTTGTACGAATATTTTTTGCTCTCACTGTATAAAGGAGTTTATTGTTGTTCTAGGACAAGTCTTTCAGAAACATAAAAAAGAGGAAACTGTTGGAACAGAAATATGCAATTTCTCGAGTCGAGATTTTCCTACATTGAATCTCTTTCAATCTCAATTAAACTTTATAAACCTGTCTTGATACTCTTGAACAATCAAATATGACCTCTTTTAATATTACTTAATCCACAACTTCTATTTAGAAAACTTCTTTTGTATCTAAAAGTAGGAAATTTTCCGATAACTGCCATTTACAGGCTCAATGTATATAGAAGCTCAATATATTTATTAGATTAGAACTTATTATAAATCTCTAGAGCCTACATACGTAACACAACAACAATAAATCAAACTGATACAAATAAAATATAAAGATAAACTATATAAAGACAGAAAGATGACATATGAAAAACAGATACAAATGAAGAAAAAGAAAAAAAAGCACAACTCCATATATCAATAATAATTAATGAAGCGGAAAGAAAGAGAAAGTCAATGAACGATTCTCTGAGATCGCCGCGTGATGAGAATTTCGTGGTTACGAAGAAGATTCTCTCTGCTCCGCGACCTCGGAGGTCACGCGTGATAAAACTCAAAGTTTTTAGGTCAGATTTCTCGATAAGGAGACGTACATATATTGTATCCCCAGAAGACGTGCGTCCACAAACAGAAACCAGTTGTTTATACCGAAAGCACGATTACGTGAGCGGCAAACGCTGACTGGCTAACCGCGTCACTCAACACCGACAAGATTATACACCTCGACGAATTCATCAACAGAGAATGTGTCAGGCAGAGATAGAGAGGTATGCAATAAGAATGCCGATTATTGAACAACTAAAGACGTTTTTGGATGAAATTAGAAAACCGATGAAACCAATAAAACAATTCCGAATTTCCTTTGTTAGTTTTCCTTTTTTTTATTTGTTTAATAGGAAATTTGGAACTACTATCTATATTATTGAGTAACCATAAAAAAATTATTTTTTAATAAAAAATAACAAATTGTAATAATAAAATGAGAATGTTTTGTCCATACATTTTTATAGAAGATTCACGTAAGTGATTGAATCTCGATCACTTTAATCAGCTTAAAATTATGCGCACTAAATCTTGGTGTTTATATAAGGACTGATTCTGATTCTTTTCTAGATTAATTATTATTTTTTAACAAAAAGAATAAAATTAACGAATCGTGACATTGAAATGAGAATGATCTACCTATACTTTTATAGATGCATATAAAATAATCAAATTTCGATTACTTTGATCAACTTAAAATAATGCACACAAAAGGCCTATTCTTTTTCCATATTCCAAAACTAAACTCCTTGCACGGTCCGTTATTTGTCTTTTTCTCTTCAATATGTAAAAGAAGAAGAAAGCTAAACCGTGTAAGAGATTCAGTCCTAAAGTACAGAAAAAGAACAAGCCTGATATCTTGATGCCCCCATAGGACGTAGCCCTGATTCTTTCCTAGATTATTCAGAGGCTTCTCTGAAATTTGAAACCAAGTGATTAAAATGCGCGAAGATGAAACCTCATCCGGCGGTGCCGTGAGATCGCGAGTAGTGTAGCCGTGGCAAAGATAACACTCGCGACTCGCGACTCGACTCTCTTGACCACTGGAGTGTCGGACGGCGCACGTTTCTTTCGACGTACCTGCGGACTGGTACCTGCGGACGGTCTTTTTCTTGTCTTCGGACGTCACGAGAGGTGACGAGAAGAAGAGACCCGCCGTCGGAGCCCGTCTTCCTCATCCGTCGCTACGACGACGACGGCGACGGCGAGGACGCGGGCGAGGGCGAGGGATAGACGTGGATCCGGTGGATCCCGAGCGAGGAGAGGGTCGCCGGCGCGAAGTCGCGGCGCGTGTAACGGGTTAGCCCGATGCACGGCATGACATGACATGCGTGTCGCTCACGGTACGGCGCGTCTGACGTGGCGTGCGTGCGGAAGTATATCGATCAGCTGACGGTCGGGCGGATACTGGGCCGCTTCGCGGAATTCACCATATTGTTGCGTCGGCACGCATGCGCCGAGCCCTCGTCCCTTCGTTCTGTCACTCTCCTTCTTTCTCCCTCTTCCACCCTTCCCGTGTCTCTTCCTCTCTTTCCTCTTTTCTTCCCTTACATTCTTCCTTCTCCCTCACCGTCTCTCTCCCGCGGCACCCATCTACCCCCCTCCCCCGTCTACCCCGCGACGATACGTACGGAATGATTCAGCAGGAACCCGCGATGTAGTTCCGAAACGTGTTCCGAGGGGGTGAGAGGGAGGCCGAAATATAATCTACGGTGGACTTACGGGTGCAACGTTTATCGATATGGAAAACGCGATTTTAGACAACTAAAAGAGACATTTTGAAATAAACGAAATCTTCACAGAGAGATTCTCGTGCTTTGAAAGTTACTTTTGACGGTAGAACGAGCGGAAGGAATTTTGTTTTACGATCGAGAGCGAAACAGAGGCTCGTGTCTCGTACACTGTTACGTTCATAATGTCAAATTATACTCGATTAGAGTCGTTTTTAATTATTTCTATAGATCGCCACTGCTTCTATATTCTAGTAGACGATAATTTAACTAAAACAATGGAGTTTAACAATTTAATTAAAAAATTTATTTTTTCCTCAAATTTATTATTTACTAAATGCGTTAACATGGATTACTTACTTTGAAATTTTATTAACCACATAAACGAACTGATTTACATTTTGACACAGATAAAAATTAAAAACAACAAAATATTGTTTAAAGAGATTGGACTCCTTTGAAGTAATTCTTACGACAACATATAGATCGGTATTCGCAATAGTCATTCGGACGCAGTCGGTTCTCATGTTTAAGACAATCTTAAATACAATCTTAAGATGTCACAAGCGAATCGTGGAACTGTATTAGCATCTCAAGACAGTACTTAAAACGGTCTTAAAGTAAGAACGAACTATGAATACCAGCCATCATGGTATTTTCACGATTTTCACGAACATCCAGTTACAACCCTCTTTACTCAACCATCCTCTTCCAATTCGCTCTTTCCATTTCCCAGGCGAGCATCCCGGGACTTTTTCATTCATACGTCGCTCCTCAATATGCTAATAGCTCAATCCTACTTCGCCATACCGTCTAAATTACATTATCGTATTACATATAAATTTGTCTCCTCTCTCTTTCTCGGTTGCCTCGCTTCCGCCGTCCTTCAATCCTCGATTTTACAATGCCAAGTCCCATCGCGTAACCCGCTCGTACGATTGTGCTCGAACGACTTTCTCCGATTTCTACGTTTCCTCATTTCCCATTTTCATCGGCCCCAGTAATGCTCGCAACTCCAGGAAACCCTGCGCCTATAGCCATGCACACAAGAACTGTATGCGTTATATATGTATGTATTTTAGTGTCACGCGAGTCACACGGTGAAATATATGTATATACGAAACACACAGACAATAGATCGGCCACAATTACTTCTCTATACTCGCGACCGCTCTCTAACAATAATTATACACGAAAATATGAGAAAACGTGTCGTGAATATCGATCCGTTTACTGGAGGACATTTCGCTTGTACCGTCAAGGCTGCGGCTATCAAAGAGTTCGCTTAATGATGTGCAGACTCTGATTAATATTCGACAAATACGTGCGATAATCCGTGAGGTCCGCCATCGATTTCCTTCCGTTCGCGTTCAAATTACGTCCGTCCGTTTTCCATTAGCGCACGCTCAGCCGAGACATTAACGAACCGCAACGAACGCGAAAGAATTACTTTTTCGAGCGACGATAATACTGTAGAGCGCGACGAGATAAGCGGGATAATAGAAAGCTGGAACACAATGTTAAATGGCGAAAAAATCTGCGGCATCTAATCGAGTCTTTTTTTTTTCTCTCCATGAGGAAAAATCGATCCCGATGTGACACGCGCACGTGTACCTATATGTATTCGCGGAATAAAAATTGACGTTGCAATTACACGTAGGTAGTCGAGAATGGGATCAAGTTCGCGCTCGATAGAGATGCCAGGACGAACCGACGGGCAGCTCGTGCTGGAACACGCTAAATAATTACTGGTATCAGTGGTAGCGCGTAATTGTCGGTTATCGCAATATAGCGATAGCACACAGTTAAATAATGATCGGCCATTATTGTAGCAATTCGAGAAAGACGAGACGTTTCCATCCGCCGTACCGGAGTTGATGGGAGAAAGACGGCGAAATAAAGACACGAAATAAAATATAACGGAGAAAGAGAGAAAGAGAAAGGACGTAGAACGAGAGTGAGAGGGATGTACCGCCGTGTACTGCGATTTCACGGTGCTGAGACGCGCGAGAGGATCCGTAGTCACGCTTCGTGATTCTCCCTGTATCTCTCTTCTCTTCTCTCCTCGATCCAAGGGAAAAAGAAACGGAAAGCTTTATTTCACTCTCGTGTCGAAACTGGTTATTCACGTCAGACGTTACAGCGACTTACATTAATCCCGCGCTGTAACGGTTGGCATTAATTGAATTCTCCAGAAAAGGCACAAGGAAAATTTAATGTCTGGGAAAACCGCGTCTCAAAGCGACATAATATATTTACCTCACGTATAATTACCTCATATTGCAAAATATTAAATGTAATTCGCCACGGCCGTAAATATTATTCGCGTTTTCACGCGTCGCAACAAAAACTAGGTATGGTTGGCTACTATCGTAAGAGCAGGTATCGACACTAGCTACACTCTCTGCGATTAAATAATAGTTACTAAACGGAGTTACACAGCGATCACGCGCGAAAATATGCAATTTTAATGACACATTATTTCAGTTTCATTAGCCATCATAGGTGATATAATTAAAAGTGTCATGCGGTACCTTTCACTGCAGTCAGAGAATTGTCGCGCATTTCCGACACTTAATTATCATCAAGTAATCTCCCGAGGCTCGCGCAGGATATAAATAGCGAATCTAATTGAATGAAAACGGCACGAAGGGAATAATTGACTCTAGTAAGGCAATCGCGAATTTCTTCGCTCGTCCTCGACTCATTCGAATGCGGTGCGGGTGCGAGGATCGAGCGACAGATATATCTTATCTTTACGCGATCGGGTAAGGAAGCATATTTTGAATGCACGAATTTCGCACGGCGACGATGAAAAAGCGAAGAAACCGGAGAGGATTGTACGACGCATTATCCTAACGCCGACCCGGTCTTTCTCGGAATACGAAGAACAATGCCGATCTTATCGGAGATCCTTGTACACGAATAGAGAGTGCGGGACTGGTTCGTAATTAACTACTAAAAAAAAGTATCCTAATAACATTATAATTTAGGCCTGTCCAATTTTACCTCCGGAGCCAAAACGCAAACCCAATGGCTGCGTTCAGCAGAAAAAGCAGCTTTGCAACTGTTGTAAAATTCTTCAATATGATTGGTTTATACATTTAGATCCAATGAGGAACTAAGGGCAAGACCAATCACATTGAAGAATTTTACAACAGTTGCAAAGCTGCTTTCTCTGCTGAATGCAGCCATTGACGCAAAAAATTCAATGTGAATAAGATTTCAGAGACTGCAAAGTGTTGATAAGCGGTGCTCAGACGTGTATCAGCACTTTACAGTCCCCTTAAAATCTTATCTACATTGATTTTTTTTGCACCGATGGCTTTGCGTTTTGTCTCCGGAGGTAAAATTGGACAGATCAGTTTTATAAATATTAGCGCACTTGCAAAATATTGGCTTGCTACCCTTGAAATTTATGCGATGTCGCTGGTATGAATGTATCGATCCGTTTAAACGTAATTTATATGCTACAGAGGACGATACACTCAGAAAAATGTCTAATTGAATTAATTCTGGTTAAAAATGAACAAATAACAATTTTCTAATTAAATCTTCAAATTAAGGGGATGCTGGAGTGACGGTCAAAGTTAATTAAGGTCGATAGTACAGACTTTTTTAAATTCCAAATTCGACAATAGTGACATCTTTCATTCATTTCTTATACTTATTATATATCGTTGTGTCTCGCTCAAACGCATTCATCTGTCCTTATCTAACATATTGCAACGCCATCTCTTAGAAAGAGATCAACTAAAATACTGCTCGATTTCATGGCTTCACATCAATTTTATTCGATATAACAGTATACGAACAAAATTTTTGGAGATTTTTTTCTCTTATACCAAAGCCCCCCTATCTCGTTTCTAAAAACATAGGATTGTTCTTCAAAGTTTTCTGTAGGCTGCTGGCTACTTATTTTAAACGGGTAAAATCCGAAACTCTTATATGCAGCACATATT